TTGAGGCTTTACATCTTTGAGGGAGCAAAAAGCATTTCTCCCATAGCAGCTGGCAGGCTTGAACCATGGTTCTTGTGGTTGGTAGTTCAGTGCTTGTTGTACAAAGCATAATAATATTCTCTATGGTAACGGTAAAAACTAGTGTTATGGCTAGGCCCTAGAAGGGAAAGCTTCTAAGGGTCTCATTTAAGAAACCATTTAATTGGGTCTCAATATTATGATGATTTCACCAATAACATCTTTAACATCTACCATGCATTCTCATGGTGTACTAATAAGTATTTGAATTCAAAATGTTTATCTGAGCTAATTTCATTAATAAGAATGACCACTGGTCAAAAAAACTCAGCAAAGAGTGACTTAAAGATTTCTGAAAGAGTAGTCAAATTTCAAGAAGTTCTAATTTTGTGGAAAAAATATTTATGAAAGAATTACTGTGTCACATAGAAGTAACAAATTCATAGAAATATAAGTATAAAATCATCCTAAGATATTTAAAACAATTTAAATAACCATTTAAAACCAAAAAAATTTAAGAAGACTAAAAATAAATGAGAAGCAGATTTCAGAAACTAGTGAAATAAGCAAAGAAAATTGAACTTTGTGTTTCATCTTTTAGCAAAATGTTAGTACCCTTGTTGACATGCTTATTTATTTCTTGCTTTCTGCAAAGACAATATTTTAAATTTGCTTTCATGAAATGAGAATTTTATTATTCAAATTATTCCACAGCTATTTTAAATTAATCACAAATGTCACAAGTATCTCACTTCTAAAAGACACTTATATTTCTTAGTATCAAGGAGAATGCTGTATTTTCAAACACAATTTATTAGAAACGCCTGAGGATACATTGAAAATCTGTTTGCCATCCTAGAAAAATCAACAAAAGTTCCTCTAAGCACTGGCTGGAATCCCATTTCAAAGGGGACATGTCACAGTTTCTCACCTCCTCACAGGGGCCTTTCTCTAAGTTTCTATAGGAAAACAAATCCCAAACTTGAGGAAGGCTCCGAGTTCAAACGTTTTTGCCAAACATTTTTGGCCATTAAGCTAACTAACACATCAAAAATTCTCAATAAAATTCACATGTTTGTCAGAAAGTCAAGAAACCCCACTAGAAATTTCCATATACCTAGTCTATAAACTCTTTTGTCTATGAAATGCTTCTATGCCTGCCACAGCCAATAAGTTTTCATTGTTAAGTTTGATGTACGAAACTAAAAGAGAAAAAAAAAAACAAGTTACTAGTGCACAGGTAGTCCCCAACATCCAACAGTTATGACACATGTCAAATACCCATTTGTTTTTCAGTTTTCCTTGCTATTGCCATTAATTATCAGCATCTTTACAAATTTGGTCTTTATTTCTCTTAGGGAGTTGAAAACACTACGTATAAATTTAAAGACTGGTTGGTTATGTGCCGTGGAGTTGGTTCCAACTCAAAGTGACCCTGTATACGGTTTCCAATGCTATAAATCTTAATGAGAGCAGAAAGCCTCATCTTTCTCCCCCGGAGCCACTGGTAGTTTCAAACTGCTGACCTTGGGATTTAGCAGTCCAAATGGTAACCACTACGCTACCAGAGCTCCTTAAACTTGAAATACATTTTAATATATGTTTTATTTGTTGTTAAATGCAATTCAGTCAATTCCAATTCATAGCAACCCTGTATAGGGTTTCTGAGGAGCAATTGGTTGATTTGAACTGCCGATTCAGACTTATCTTACAGTCTGGTTCTTACCCTACAGCTCCACACAGCGGCAACAACAAAGATGGTCAGTAACTTCAATATGTCTCAAATCAGGCAGGAACTACCTGTCTAGAGCATGCTATCTATCCCTTGTGTGAAAAAATGGCAGTATTTTTTAAGATGTATAGACAATCCCAGAAGAAACAAGACTCATTGCCCCTGGGGCGGAGAACTCCAGGATGGAGGGCAGTACTGGGAGGGACATCTAACTACACCACATTCATTCTCTTTGGCAGTATTTGCAGTAGCATCGTTTTTTGTTTTGTTTTGTTTTTTTAAGCCCCAAAAAAGAAATTCCTAAGAAATCCATTTCCTTTGAAATCCAATTTACTCAATATTATTCAATAATCTACCGAACATAAATTTCCATATACCATCTAAAAAGGCAATAATATCATGAAATTAATCTGATTCAAAGTTTCAATGAACTATTAACCAGATTAATTTATATCTTTATGTAAATAAATGTACTAAGTATCCTTCAGACTATACCTGTTTTCAGAACCATTTGCACACAGCCACACAGTTGTTTCTAGCATGCTGTTAAGTGCCCTCAAGTCAGTTCTGACTCACAGTAACCCTGTATAATGTTTATGAGGAGTGACTACTGCGTTTGAACTGCCAACCTTGTAGGTCAGTCCAGTGGGTACCCCACAGTGCTACACCAGGAATGAGATACAAATAATCGATAGGGGGAAATGTTGAAAATTGTGGTACTTCCCCCACCCCACAACTGTTTACTTCCAATTGAAGGAGTACTATTTGGTCTATCAAGTTCTTAGCAGTAAAGAGGTAACTTTACAGAGAGTCTCCAGTTGTGATACAAATGTTCTTTTATTTAAAGATGGGAGTCTTCCAGATATAAGCATACTTGTGACAGCACCAAGTATGATTTAAAAATAAAACAAGCAATATGTTCAGTATAAATGACTTAGTGTGAATTGCTGTCTTGAAGTTCTACGGATAAAAGGTTACATGAGATAAAATGTATAGCCAGAAAGGAGAGTAAATAATAATAATGTAAGGAAGTTGTAATTGTAAACACTTTTCAGTTTAGACAACTAATCAACATGATATGATACTGGGTTTCATTTCTGAAATATATTTGAGTTTGAAAATAATATGATTCAGAAATAATTTTTATATCCAGAGATATAAAAACACAACTATTTTTACCTACATGTTTTCTCTGAGGAATGTTTGAAAGACAAAACTTTCTCTTTTTTAAAATTTAAGGTAATAAATACATATAAACAATATAAATTGAATTGAGTCAAAATTTAAAACCCAAATTGCGTTTTTCAGAGGATCACAGAAACTTCTAAATATACATATAAATACTTTTGTTTTTACCATTAGTTAAAAAAAAAAAAACAGACAACCAAAGGTAGGCAATTCCAGAGTAGGTGAAGCTGAACCTGGCAAAAATGTTTCCAGTTCAGGAAAGTCCGGTAAAAGTAGCATTATCTGAAAACTGTAGCAATAGTCATTTTACTAAGCCAATAACTGATGTCTGTAAATGATTCACCTAGTCTTGTATTTTATTCTTTTAATACTTGCATGGTTGTCAAACTCTTCCCTTAGGTGACCATACTACCCCTCCCCCCAAGAAGGACAGCTTCTATGCTAAACTCTATGGAAATGGACAAAACAATAAAAGCACAAACCAGTACAACATTCCAATCACAGGGCTGAAATGAAACAGGAAAAGGAATAGGCAATACTGTTCTTGTCTTCAAGATATGTGCTGTCAAGTTAAACTTACTCATTGTTCACGCACCCCTTTCTTTATTAAGAAATAACAAAATCTTGCTTAAGAAAGCACTCTTCTTGTTTTGCATTTTCTTGACATTAATCTCCAAGGACATTTCCTACAAATTGTCATTTTATTTCCTATCACCTTTTTTTTTTTAACTGCAAGGTTATTTTCAAACTGTAATGGATAGGCTTTGTACACTTCTTTTGTCTTAATCTTTGTTTTGTTTAACATTTGGTAGAAAGTTCACAATGTCTAGGTTTTTCTTCGCTATGCAAGTAAATTTCAAATCAAAGTATGACCATTTTTTTCCTAATTGGTATATCTAGTTATGTACTTTACAAGAAAAACTACTGTTTTCACTTGATCTCTCTTAACTTATTTCATGTTCCTTGAACAGGTTAAATTTGTATGACAACAAAGAGAATCATTACAAAGAAGAAAAAAATGTTTCCGTTTTCTTCTTTTAGCCATGGTAGTGACAAGAGAACGAACCATATATGGACCATTTATTTTCTGGGGGGAAAAAAGGAAAAGAAACGAGGGAAGGAGAGAGAAGGGAACAAAGAAAAAGTAAATAACTTTACAGGTGCAAACTGAACAAGATACATACTAGCAGATATAAATGTATCTTCTTTCCCTGTCAAATTTCCATCTGCACAAAGTAAAAACAGAATACTTACAAGTTAGCATCTGTCTATTTGTGTCTCTCTATGTGTGTTTTCACTCTTCGTTGGATTTGGATACTTTGAGTTAATTTGGAAGTACCCGTTTGGTTGCCCACAATATGATGCTTAAGGGTCTAAAGATGCATAAATTAAGAAGCCCTACAAAGGCAGAGCACTGTCATTGTACCTCTTCTCTTTATGCGCTCTTTGGTGGGACCCAAGAGTCTTTTTTTTTTTTTTTTTTAACACTTTAGCTGATGGAGTGGGTGAAGGGCTGGTCGCTCAAGAGGGCAAGGTGCGCCCTACAAATAACCCCCAACTTAGAAGCACGTATTCCTCCCCAATTACACTGAACATTGCAGAGGAGTCACTTAAGGAAAACCCGGGACCGATGGGGAGAAGCACGGAGTCCTTCACTCGCAGCCTCGACGCCTGTCTTCGAGTTTCTATTTCTAGTATTCAAGGGCTGGGGTAACTGCCTAGGATAGAGGAATGAAGGATGGAGAAAGCAAAGGGGAATGATCTTTTCAAGAAACACCCAACTGACCCCTTTACCTTTTTTGCATCCATTAAGGGAATTGGGGTGGGGGGAAGAGAAAAAGATGTCAATGACCATTGTTTGCTCGTTTGGGATTTTGCTCCGCCCCCCGTGTCTGTCGTAAACCTGGCGCCTGACTAAAATAAACCCCAGATCCCGGAGCTCTGGGGCTCGCCGCCGACTCCTCGTCACAGGCGCAGCAGCTGTGGCCGAGGTGGCGGCGAGTAGCGGCCGCCGCGTTTGGACCGCGCCCGCCACGGGCCCCCCTACCTGGCGGTCCGCCGAGCCATGTCGTTGAGCCCAAAGCACACGACGCCCTTCTCCGTGTCTGACATCCTGAGCCCCATCGAGGAGACCTACAAGAAGTTCGGCGGCGCTATGGACGGCACGCCGCCGGGACTGGGGGCGCCCCTTGGGGCCGCGGCCGCTGCCGCCTATCGCGCGCCTCCGCCCGGCCCCTCCTCGCAAGCGGTTGCCGTGGCGGGCATGCAGCCGACACACGCCATGTCGGGTCACAATGCGGCGGCTGCGGCCGCGGCTGCGGCCGCGGCAGCCGCTACCTATCACATGCCGCCGGGCGTCTCGCAGTTCCCGCACGGAGCCATGGGCGGCTACTGCAACGGCGGCCTGGGCAACATGGGCGAGCTGCCCGCCTATACAGATGGCATGTTGAGCGGCGCGGCGGCCGCGGCCACCGGCTGGTACGGCGCCAACCCGGACCCACGCTATTCGTCAAGTGAGCCGGGCAGGAACGCGGAGCTAAGGGCAGGCGGGCGGGGGGCTTTTGCCACCACACCTCCGGGAGCGGGGGAGTGGGGCTTCTGGGACCCAGATCGGGGAGCGTTGGGAATATTGGAACACAGCCAGGGCGTGCTCAGGGTCCTGGGACCAGGTCCAGGGCACCTAAGGGATGTGGGGCCCTTGAGGGCGCGCAGAGTCCTGGGTGCTAGCCCCGAGTGAACCAAGGGTCCTAGGACCTGGTCTGGGGAGCGCTGGGCGGCGTCGTGACCGCCGTGGGTGTGAAGAGAGCCGGGCAGCGACGGGAAGTGGGCTTCTAGTGGGGCTGGCGCTCAACGGCCTTGTCTCTTGGGCCCCCTCTCCAGTCTCCAGGTTCATGGGGCCGTCGGCGGGCGTGAACGTGGCGGGCATGGGGTCGCTGACGGGCATCGCAGACGCCGCCAAGTCGCTGGCGCCGCTGCACGCGGCTGCGCCACGAAGGAAGCGCCGCGTGCTCTTCTCGCAAGCACAGGTCTACGAGCTGGAGCGACGCTTCAAGCAGCAGAAGTACCTATCGGCGCCCGAACGTGAGCACCTAGCCAGTATGATCCACTTGACGCCGACGCAGGTCAAGATCTGGTTCCAGAACCACCGCTACAAGATGAAGCGGCAGGCCAAGGACAAGGCTGCGCAGCAACTGCAGCAGGAAGGCGGCCTGGGTCCTCCGCCGCCGCCGTCGCCGCGTCGCGTGGCAGTGCCTGTTCTGGTCAAGGACGGCAAACCGTGTCAGAATGGAGCCGGCACACCGACGCCGGCCCAAGGCGGCCCGCAGCCGTCGGCCCCCACGCCGGCGCCGGAGCTGGAGGAGCTGTCACCCAGTCCTCCCGCGCTGCACGGCCCAGGGGGCAGCCTGGCAGCCCTGGACGCGGCCGCCGGAGACTATGGTGGCGGCGTGCTGGGCGCCAACCTGCTCTATGGCAGGACGTGGTGACCGTGTGAGACCCCGAGTCGGGGTCCTGCCAGCAACTTGAACGGTCTGCGAGAAACTGCGAGAACGGTTGGGGGAACAGTGCAGAGGTGACATTTGTGTAAATGGCGATGAAAAACCGAAGGGGTCATGGAGAGGCTCTAAACCTCATTGCTGGCGGCCAACGACAGTCCTAGGGACCAAATAATGTAACATCATCCCATAAGGCTTTGAGTTGGTGGTTCCTCTTTATAAAATTTTCTAAATTGTGTGAAAAGCTGGCATAGTCCACGTCCACCAGGTCCGTAACTAAAACTCTCAGAGTTTTAAAAGTTGGAAACTTTGTTGGTGTTTTTTAGCTCTAAAAATCAACCCAACTCCAATGACAGCTTTCTGATGTGGAACTTAACTTGGAAGATTAATTTTCAAAGCCCCTCCCTTAAGTGCAATTTCATTAATGTTTGATTGAGAGTGAATTGAATCATGCACATAGCAACATTCTTGCTGAGGAGTTATTGCCACTTACTTAATAGAGAAATGAAATTAAAAGAACCATAATATCGGTTATATAGCTTAACACTTTTTTTCAGTTAAATGCTGATTTCAAAATATTTTGATCATTTGGCAAATGTGTTTGTATATTATCTTAAAAAAGATTTGTTTTCTAAGATGCCGCTCATCATGAGGTTTGTAAATTACCTTTTATATGGAATCTGGTCTCTCAAAATGAACTGATAAAATAAATACACCCCAACCTTCTTTAGATACATTATTTACCATATCTGAGGTATTTTCTTGTCTGGATTTGAATATCTTGATTTGGTACTTCTTGTTAAGTGCCATAGAGTCTGATGATAGTTACCCTATGTACAACAGTACCAGATGCACTGCCTGGTCCGGTGCCATCCTGACACATTGCAGTGTTTGAAAATTGCTAAAACTGGTATTAATCTATATTTGAAAGCACACTAAGAAGAATAAGGTGTTTTATTGAACTGCAATCAGGATTTTAAAAACTCAAATATTCTCAATTTTCCTATCATATTTATAATTTATCAAGAGATTAAGACTTGATTTTGTTGATTTATTTACAATGTATCTACTCTTTAATATGCCAATTTATATTACCAGTGTTTTCATTGTTATTTAAATATAACTTAAACGAATCTTAAGTACCTTTTTCTTAAAAGTCAAGCGGTCATTTCTTTAAGTTGTATAGGTCTTTGGTTTTTTACATTAAGTGACATACTGTTTTAACACAGTTTAGTTTGTTGTTAAAGTGCTTTCCAGTTGGCTCCCACCCATAGCAATCCTGTATAGGATTTCTGAGGAATGGCTGGTGAGCTTGAACCGCAGATCTTACGGTTCAAACTGACTTTGCAGTCTAGCGCATTAATCCACAGCGCCACACCAGGCTCCCAGCTTACTCATGTCTAAATAATCAGTTGTTGTTGTTAAGTGTCCATTCCGACTCATAGTTGTTAAGTGTCCAGTCGGTTCCGACTCATAGTTTCCAAGGACTGGCTGGTGAGTTTGAACCATCAACCTTGTGGTTCAAACCAACAGTGAAGGTCAGTGCTTGTTATATGGTGCCACACCAGGACTCCAAATAATCAGTATTGGAGTACAAATAGTAACAGAAATCTGAAGAACATGAGCATTTAAAATTCATGAAAAAGAACTAGCAGGGATAAAGCGTGATTTATAAATTGTCAAAGCAAATAGTTTCCAGAGACTCCAAACCTCTTTTACTTTTGTGGTTTCAGTATTACAGTTTGGAGCTCAAATATCTTATTTCACTTCACTGTTCTAGTTTGTGAAAGTATAAATTGAATCTTAAGGAAGGTGTTTTAGAAGTTAAATTTTCACTTTCTCTATATGATTTTTTAAATAGTAAATGTTGCTTTTGAAAATAACTCCAGTCACTTTCTCAAGACGAAAAACAAAAAGATTAGGCAAGCAAGAGGACACCCTTTATCAAAGGACCATGAAAGTACTTTGGAAAATCAAGTATAATTTTTTAAAACATTTTATATAATAATAATAATTTGGGCAGAAAACTTAGTCTGAAAATGATGTGATACTTTTACAGAAAATTTTCTCAACTTGGGTTGTTGCATATAAATAGAATGAATGACTTTAGAAATTAAACTAAGCTACTGTAATTATTATTGACATACCAAGTCTCAAAATGTTTGTTTCTACTTGATTCCCTTTAGTTGGTACCAGAATTCTGACATTTTACTTCCAGAAACTGTTCTAAAAGTTCACATGGTTTGCAATTGTTTTGTTTGTTTCTGTTACAACTTATAAAAAAAATAACACCTTTTAAACCAAGGGTTTCAGGTAACATTCAAAGAAAATGAATCCCCATTGATGTTTTTTTTTTCCTTGATATTTTCAGAACAAAGAACCCCTTAGGCTGATGTAGTGAACTCTTTATTTTAAAATATACTAATAAAGGAGAAACAATTTCTTTATACAAAGTTTTTAGAAAGCATATTTAATGTAGGCACATTTTTTTTTTTTTTTTCTTTCAGCATTTTGTTAAACATTGAAAGATCCAAGCTAGGAATAATTGCTGCAGAGGATTTAACAGAGAAGTATGGAGTTTGTGTGTGCATAGTCTAAAATTAGGAGATTTGATTCCTGAAATGCTAAAATAAAAATGTTGCTCCCATAGAATTCCAGGTTTTGATTAATACAAAACGAAAGTGTTTCCTTTCCTTTCCTTTCCTTTTTTTTTTTTTTTTTCCTTTTGCAATTAGTCCTTTGCAAATCTTTTATAAAATACAAATGGCCAGACTAGGTGAAACTCATTAACTGAAGAGGAGGATAAGTGTCTTCACAACCAAGAGGGAGGACTGGCTGCAGAATTTGAGTAGAACAAAGCCCTCTCAAAGTTTAGCAGAGACCACAGCCAAACTTGGTCTCAAAAATGCTAGTTCTGCAGATGAGACATTTTTTTCTAAATGTTTTGAGGTTTTACAAACAATCTTACTTATCCTTTGCAATTGGAGAGCGGAAATCAAAACCCAGAATTAAAGTTGCAGAGGAGACCGGAGGGATTGCAGGTACTTTTCTGTAATCTGTGCTGATATGTAAATTCAAGTACTGTGTATCTGTGTGTGTATAATTTTGAAGGACACAGGAAGGGTATTTTGTATATGGAAGGGTGGGGGGTGGAACCTAGTAATCTTCTATTTGAGACTTTGCTTACAATTAAAACTTAAGCGTTGATTCTTATCAACACAGATGTGCTCCAAAAAACTCTATCCTACTAGCCACTGTTTATTTTCAGTTTAAGGCAAATCAGAGATTCAATTCATTTGGCTAAATGCGAATACTTTCCATATTCTTACAAAACTGCCCTGTGATCTTCACAGTACACTGCCACATCTTTCTCTTGCCCAGAAGCTGGTGAGTTCAAACTACCAATCTTTCAGTTAGCAGCAGAGCTCCCTGTTAACTGCATTGAATATTGATAATTTAGATAGAAAAGTTTCATAAGCCATAATTATATATAGAAAAAGACCAACGGATCAGATTTTTAGATATGTTTGTGCATAAGAGAAAATAATGCATTATGTGGTGGCAATATGAATTCCCTTGCAATTCAAAGCATGGATGATATTCCCCAGTTGTGTGGGGATGAAAAATGCTGTTAATTATTTGAGCCCCGTTTTTGAAGGATTGCGGCTTTCCATCCCAAATCCCAGGGGGTCAGAGAACTAGGATACATTTTATGAAAATATATGAATTGCCCTTTACTGGCAATGAGAATTTGGGAGCATCTAGGGAAGATTAAAAGATGCCTAGATGGAACTACAGGAATTTATGCTATCCGGTAAGTATTGGAATAACTTTGTGGTTTCAAGTAAATTCTATTGTTTTTTAAGTTTAGAGGTAATGGAAACTTATGGGGGAGGTTGGTTTTTTTTTTTTTTTTTGGTTTTGCTCTTGTCTACTTGTAATTGAATGAAATGAAATGTCTTTTGTTGCAGTTTACTGTGATTCAGTCACAAGTAACTTCTCATTTCAATGATTATGTGGGTGATTTCTAAAAAAAAAAAAAAAAAATTTAACCACTAGAATTGTCTAAATTTAAGTTGTGCAAACTGTTTTTGCTGTAGTGAAATAGCTCTATTCCATTTTACACACAAAAAGTAAACGCATGTTCTCTGATTGGCTCTCATTTCTCAAGTAAGGTATCAGGAACCAAGCCACACAGGCGTTCAGTTTAACCCAGTGTGGAGGAATAGTTCACGGAGAATGTTTTATTTGTTGACCTTTTTCTGGGTTAGAAATGGTAGAGCAGTCGATCACCCGGGAGAGAGCATGGCAGAATCTCAGCTCCAATATTATATTTTGGGGATAGGTAGGAGGAAACATAGATAAGAGGGCCGCCACTCTGCCTCCTGGGAATGATCAAAATTTGTTCTACATTTAAAATTTTAAAATATAGCTAAATTCGGTACCTGCTTACCTCAGAATTTAAAATAGCCTCGGAGGAACGTTTCCAATTTTCTTATACGTTCGATGTTTCCATTTGTACAGGGAATTGAGACGAAGAAACTGGGTAAATTGAGAACTGCAGCCCTACAAACCAGAAAACCTAGGAAAGGCGGAGTTCCAGTTTGGGCCTGCAGTTCGTGGGGCTCCGCGTCCGGCGGCAGGGAGTGCTCGGCGCCTGCACGCGCAGCGCTTGCACCGGAGAGGTACTGTGGTTGGGGACTTCGCGCCTTGACTCTGAAAAGAAGTTTGTCTGCCCACCGCTCCGCTGCCCGCAGTCGGGCAGCGAAGTTACCTTGCCTGCCGGGTCCAGGCGCACTCGACTATCGAAAGCGGAACCCACCCATCCACCTAGGACAAGCTCTTGGTTCCTGCCGTTCCGCGCGGTCGCACGGGAATTTATGGGTCATTACTGCTAATTTGCCTTTATAACACTAAATGGCAAGCTAATACCAGTTTGGAGTCCCGTTGTACTTTAACTACATTATACCATTTGATCTTTAAAGGGCAGA